TTTAAAAAATTAAATAAATTAAAAATGCAAAAAAATAACTAAAGTGCTTTTTTGATCGCTGTGTTGTAATTATTTGCTATGGTAATAAAAGATTTGTGCGCACTTATTATCTCTTATTATATATATAAATACTGATGTAATAAACTAATAATTTTGAATATACATAAATATTTTCAAAAAATTTGTTAAAATATTAACCATTTTCTGCAGTTATTAATAAGTTTTTACTTCCAGTACACATGATATTTTTATCTTTCTCAGTCATTTTCGAGTTGCCATTTTCATCTGATAGATTGTCACAATATCTCCGTTCTGTTGTGTATCTATCATTTATTGTCGCTTCTTTATCTAAACTTTTATTATGCTTAGCAGAACTGATTTGGCATTCAGATTTTGAGCGTTCTATATGTATTGATGGCGGTGAAGCTAATTGACTTGCAGAAATTTTTTTATTGTTCGTGACACAAGATTTTTTTGTAAGTTTAGGAAAGGGTAATAATTTGGTTGTTTTCTCACTAACGTCAGAATCAAATTCACACTCTTCTGACGAAGAAAAAATTTTTTTAGCTCGCATATGTCTTGATTTTTTTTCTTTGACGCATCTTTTGTCATCATTTTCTGTGCTTTCGTCAGCCGTCAAATCTGACATATTTTCAGCAATAAGTAGCTTCTCTTTTGCTTTTTCATATAAATCTGAAAATATAGATAGACATAAAAAGGATATTTAAAATCGACATATTTATAAATAATGTACATAATCGAATTTTTGAAAAATAAATCTAACTTGTTCTATAGAAGATTTTTATAACATCATATTTTTTCCAGTTTGAGTTATCTTCAGGAGATAATTGTGATGCAACAGCCTTTTTTATTTTTGTTGGATCCCGAAAAGTGGGATAAGCACATTTCATTTCACTCTCGTTTAACCAACATGAAGGTACTATTGCCAGGCCATCATCAAATTCTACGACAATGTAGATTTTCGAGGTGGCCATTTCTGCTTAAAGTAGATATTATAAGTTTTGTGAAGATAGAATCACACGTAATATAGAAGATCAGAATAAACTAAAAATTTTATTTTTTAGAAATAAACAAACGGGACTATATAAATAATAATTATAACAATTCTTCGAACTCTATACTCGTATATATATACACACTTAAACTATGCTGATTTTATAACTCATTCATATTTATAACTTATATATATTAATGAAATATATTTATAATTTTTATATTTACAAGTAAAGCGCGGATAAGAGCGTTATCGGAAATGCGAGCAAGACTATCCAATCGAAAACCTCCGTATGGCGAGGATTCTCGATTTGAAAATTTCGCTCGTGTTTCCGGTAGCATTCTTATTTATACTATAACTATTATAGTTATATATATTATCTATTATTATTAGATAAATTATTTTTAAATGTATGTATTAAGGGGCATATAACAAACTGATCGCCATACGGAATTTTCCAAGCTTTTGCTGCTATATAATTTATGTCCCATGCTTTTAAAGTTTGATTTTCATAATTTTCATTTACAATATTTATTTGTAAAAGTGAAGACTGAATAGGTACATCATATAAAACTTTTACATTTAATAGTTTTTTCCCAATCACAAATATAGTTTTATCTTCACTCTGAATAATATTTTCTATTTCTATGTACTCTCCATTTTCTAATATGCAGCAATTATTTCTTTTATCACAGCGGATTGTATATAATAAATTACACAACATTTTATATTGATTTTTAATATTCTTAATATTGTTTTCTAAAGGGCCATCAAAATGTTTATTATCTAAATATAATTCAAAACCTCTTATTTCATAATTCAGAGTATTTTCTTTAAATGTTTCATTTATATTTTCAATTTCACCAAATCTTTTTGAAATTTGTTGTAATGGTTTGTCTCCTTTTCTCAATAGTTTTTTAATTGTTGACATATAATTTTCAAACCTAAAGCAACTAAAGTTATCTAATATTCCAAATTTTCTTACATCTGCAACAAGATGTAGTAAATTATGTATATTATGAGATACATGTGCTTTATCATATAATTTTGCAAAAGAATCAACAAAGTGTTTCAATAAATTTTGAACATAATCTAAATAATAATTTTCCTCACAAAAAGTTTGATTACATAATATTGAAATAGCAATATGAAGCGTTAAAAAATGGTTATACATGTCTCTGTCTAATATATCTTTTAAAACAATAGGCCCTAAATATAAAAGAAAAGTTCTAAATTCTGTAGCTTTCCACTGTTTATAATCTTTCAGAGATCTAGGTCTTCTATTAAATTCTAATGGAACTGTTGATCTTATATTTTTGAGTAATCGAGAAACTCGTTCACAGAAGGTATTAGCTATTCTTTTTGGAAATACATGTTTCAACCATAAACTTATTAATTTTCGCATCACCCCTAAACATACTAAATGCATATAATCAAGTGGCACACAAGAAACTAATCCAAAATTGTCTATTTCCTTTAATATACATTCTCCTTGCTGATATTCTCCCATGTATTTATTATCTGCCAGTTCTGAATCAGTACGTAAGCTATTTTTATTTATTCCTGGAAAACATACACGTCCATGCCATTCACCTCTTATGATACATTTTGTACAGCTAGAAAATCCTGTATGACTTTTTACTGAAAGAACAAATGATTTTGCTGGTGTATCGCAAATCAATGCACTTAAATTTACTATGACTGTTATTTCATTGACACTAATTCCTGTTATTATTAATGGCTTTATATCTGATACAAATCTTTTTAAAAATTCATTGGGATCTTTTGGTTTTGTATATCCATAATACAGTCCTGCAATATATACTTTACCACACAGATTTTCCGATACAAGAATAGGCCAAAAACAACCGTTTGAAGACCGAGATATAGTCATGCCATCAATATTTATTAATAAATCTAGTACAGAAATTTGTTTACCACTTTTTCTTATATCCATTATCATTTTTTCCACAATACTTTTAATATCAAAGTGACAATATTGACCATTGCCCATTTCAATAACCTCGGTAATATTTCTGGGAGTTTGTAAAAGAGTTCTAGAGTCCTTTGGAAATTTAGTATTTGTATAAGAATTTAAAATTTCTAACAGTGGTGTCAGCGCAGAGTGTGTGATTCCATATTTTATTGCCCATGCAGCTACAGATTGTTTGAAATTTTTATTTTTATTTAAAGACTCATCACTCATAGTTTCAGAATAAAAATTATTATCTGTGCTTATTGCTTCTAAGGACTCATGTAAATGTTCAATTAAATTTGATTGCGATATGTTGTCATTTACATTGTTTTCATTTAGTGATATAAAAGTAACTTCATCATTTATATTTCTCATATTTGCAGTATTTTCTTTATTACATTCTATATCTGTATTCATAGAACTATTGCAAGGCAAAGTTTGTGCTTGTAATAATGAACTGCTTCTACTAAAAGAATACGAATCTGCCTCAATTTTAGCTAAACGCCTAAGATGACCCTTAGAATATATTTTATATTTATGTATTCTATTCATTATAAACATTTATAATAAAATAAACTATTTATAATAAATAAATAATTATAATAAATATTATACTGCTATTATAGATACCGAAAGCACGATAATCTAACTTAACTTAACCTCTTAATATACATAAATCTATATATAGTTAAATATTTATACAATTTTTATTTATTACCCAGTTTTTATATAGTATGATGATTGAAGAGATGCACAGATGAGTTGAACCGATGCACACACTCAAAATAATGCACAAAATACGAAGTATTCTTTTCCTCAAAACGTGCTTTGTCCGATTATAACAAAATTGTCACATTAGAAAGAAAGGAAAGTAGTTCAGAATGGCTATAATTGGCGCGCTCAATAAATTAATTGGCGCGCAATTTGAATAACAAAGTTAAAACAAAATAAATATTTTTTCAAATAAATATAAAATAATTATAAATATGACAATTATAAAATGTTGAAAATTTATCAAACATAAATACGAAGAAATACTTATTTTATAAATAAATACAAGTGAAAATGGCCTTAAGAGCCGAACGCGGATATTATAATGCGTGTATTTCATCGAAATTAATTTTTTCGTTCAAATTAAATAATTGTGCACAAGGCACATATTTTTCTTGGTCTACTACCAAGACTTAATATATGAATTAATCTCTTAAATTACTTGAGATTTTTAATCCATAGAACCCCCCTAACACCCCTAGAGAATTAAACTTATTTTATAATATATTATAATAAAATATTTTATAATATATTATTTTTATAATTCAATTTAATTAAAATTTTTAATAAATAAATAATTTTGAAAATATGAAAATGTGCAAACATCAAATTTAATAAATATTTTAAAAGATATTTTATAGTTTTATATTACGTATTTTTAGTATTCCCGAAAAATGAGATAACTGCGTGAAGATTACTGAAATATTGAAATAAAGTTCCATTAATCTTCCGACAACATTATAATGTCAGATTATATTGTAAGGTTAGTAGTATATACCAACAACCTTACAATATAATTTTATATTATAATATTGTCAGAAGATTAATGAAATCTTGTTTCAATATTACAGTAATCTTACGTGCAATCATCTCATTTTTATAATTGCGTGTAAGATTACTGAAATATTGAAATAAAGTTCCATTAATTTTCCGACAACATTATAATGTCAGATTATATTGTAAGGTTAGTAGTATATACCAACAACCTTACAATATAATCTTACATTATAATATTGTCAAAAGATTAATGAAATCTTGTTTCAATATTTCAGTAATCTTCACGCAATTATCTCATTTTCATAATTGCGTGTAAGATTACTGAAATATTGAAATAAAGTTCCATTAATTTTCCGATAATATTATAACGTAAGATTATATTGTAAGGTTAGTGGTATATACCAGTAACATTGATTATTAAATATGTAAGGTTGTAACCTCCCTATAATTTTACTGCAATGTTCGGTGCTGTGAGGGTAATAATTACAAATGTTAATAAATTATTAATAAAAAGCACATTTAAAAAAAATGATAAATAGCGTAAACTAATGTATGTAAATTAATTAAATAAAAATCATACCTGCTAAGAAATAAATTGACACATTTCTACATAATAAAATTCATAGTCAAATTCGTCCTACGTTTATTGGACATTAACGTCGTGATATTAGAAAACGAACTAACTAAGCAGCCTTAATAACCAAATCATATATAGGATTTAAATTTTCGGTGTCTTTCTGAAGGTTGATCGTGTTGTTAAATTTTTTAATGTAGAACATTTCTGCTAACTCTTTTTCTCGTATGTATTTCCCGATGTAAAATATTAAAGGTTGTCCATTTAAAGTCGTGTAAAAATTCACTTCTATGTTTGTTTATTACGTTATGGTTACTATTGTGCACTTTTGTTATTTATGTGTTCCTTTATACAAGTATTTAAATGTCTTTTAGTCTGTCCAATGTATGTAGCGTTGCAGTCATTGGAGTCAAGTCTATAAACAACCTCAGTCATCTCCGCTTTGGGAAGTTTGTCTTTTCCTCTTTTTATTACATAATCTAATTTCTTTGGTATTGTATAGATAACGTTTAAGCCTGCTTTTACAATAGATCGCTCGATAGTATTACTCAAATTCTTGATATACGGCATTAGGATACAATTTGAAATATCAAATTCTTTATTTTTGTATTTATCCCCCACGACGTAGGATTGTTTAAGAAAACAAACTCTCTTGTGTAAAAAAACGTTCTATAACCGCGTTGGGAAAACAATTATTAAATAAAATTCTTTTGACTATATATAAGTTTTTATTATGGAAACTATAATCAGATAACAAAATAGCATGATCAACTAGATTATTAATAGTGTTAATTTTCTACTTAAATGGGCGATTCGAATAATAGTTTAAATATCTGCCAGAAGATGTGGGTTTCTGGTACCAATTTGTTAAAAGTTTCCCGTTGTTTCTAATAACTGTTGTGTTTAGAAAATTGATCATATTATTTGTTTCAATCTCATAAGTAAATTGTAAACATAGATGATAATTATTAAATGTAGT